AACATATCAACAATCTAAAGTCTGATCACATGTGTCATAATTCCATTTTAAAGGTTAATTAACTTCCTAACCATCCTAACAACACCTCACATTCCATTATGAATTAATTTACAGAGGTTTAATACATAATCTAACAATTTATGCAAGGAAAGCCATCTTCAGTTATTATACGTTAACCAAATTTCAGACTAAACTAATATGCATAAAATTTGTTTTAAAAGTTTTAATTAAATTCCTGGAGTCTATTTAGAATGCACAGAACACAAGTTTACAGGAAGGAGAGAATGAAACTTGCCTTTAGATAGAATTTTGAAACCTTACAGCCGCATCGTCTCTAAGTTTCAGAATTCTCTTATACTGCTCCCACCTCTGACCATTGTTCCATTCCTCTGTTCTTCCTCCTTAGCTTCATAGATTAATACTACGTGAATAATGCTTTATTTTAACCCTTGCAGACTACACAAGAATATACACATTGAAGTGTATACAACCCTCTCTATGTATCTTTGTTTTTCCTCTTAAATTACCCCTACGTGAATAGGGTTTTCTCCCAAAAACCCTTGCAACATATATCGTTATATATATATAGACTCCTCTGAAACCCTAATCCCAAATCCAGTAATCCTAACCCTAAGTCCAGCCCAACTACAAGTCGGCTACCTAATTACTTAATCATAACACCCTAAACCTAATTATCACCCAACATGGTAATAAACAAGTTCCCACAACAGTTACGTTCATTATACATATATCTGGAATAAAATTAACTAACTAATTAATTAATTACCCTTAAACATAATTAAAGGAAAAAAATAAATAAATAATTATGACTAAAAACCACACAGAACACACATACAATTTCAAGTCATATGAATAACAAAATAAAACACACTTAAACAATATTAATTTAAACACACACTTAATCAATCAATTAATTTAACCAAATACAATAAACACAATTAGTCAAATAAGCAAATAAAAACCCTTAAACATATAGCCAGATAAATCATATTTAAAATGCACATACACATAGCCAGATAAATCATATTTAAAATGCACATAAATCAACTAATCAATAAATCAATAAAATGCGCATAAAATAAATAAAGAAATTCCAGTTATATCCTTTTAAAAATTAGGGGTATTGCACGACTCGCACCTGAATGCACCCGACACCTTGTCACGCGCTACACACCAACTGTCCAACCATGAACACCCAATCTCACCTGAGATGAACTAAACTCCTTACACACAAAGAGAGAACCAAATGGATACAAGTACGGAACTAAGAACTCAATTCTAGGCGACCTTGCTTCTAACGGACCGTCATACACTATCAACACAGAAACCTCACATACAATACTCTGCAACACCCATGCTAACCCAAAACCAATCAGATAAGAGCACCAACACTCACAACATACCAACACTAGAAACGATCACAACCCATCGGACACCGCATCCCGTTCTACCTAGATACAGTCACCCCCAAATGACAACCTCCATGCCATAAAACGACATTTTACCACCCATTCCATCTCCACCTTCCTAGGCGACACCACCTCGAACACCATGTACAAGATTCGTGACGTCAGTCACATCAACCCACTACGCATCAAAAGAAAAAGGTGCCTATTTGGCAACATCGTCTTCACTGACTCTAAAAACTAATCAATCCCTAATCGCCTTAACCGATGCACAATCTCATCAATTACCTGACAATACACAACAAATAACCCCCAAACTACATTCGGATCATACCTTAAACCGTTCTGCTCATCGGCGCTAAACATTACACTATAACACCTCTATTACCATTCTTCCCAATGGACAATTCGAACCTTTATTATCATCAAGCCACTACTAAGTGATTCTTCCTCAAACATCCTTAAAACAATACCATCATAACAAAAGAATAAGCATCACTCTCGATACTCCCCCAACAACAACCATTTTTTATCATTGGAAAAGAACCTCCATACGGTAATGTCATGCCGACAAACCCTCAAAACAAAATGAGCACAAATCTCAAAATGTGAGCACCCAATTGTCACCTCAATACCATCAACGATGCCCTCAGTCATTAACGCTTAACCGACAACATCAAACCACTCTTTCAAAGTGATCTACGCATCCAAACAAGGAAACCTCATACCCTAAGTTCAACATCGTTACTTTTCCTCATTCTCGTTCCTTCAAACATCCTTGGCCCCGACAAAAATCAAATGGGGCTACCAACTAACCTACAAGATCAACATTGTCCCAATCACTCCAATCATTAGTCTATCTCTTCGAATCCTCAAACAACAAGCACTATCTCATGATATTTCAGACGTAATCTGAAATACAGCCCTAATTCACAGCTTTCAAATTCTAAAACACAATTCATTTGATAACACAATACTCACCAGCTATCACTTCATCCGCAAAAAACCAAACACTCCAATGACCCCATAGTACCTGCCTTATTGTGCAATCCTGCACTACACAGCTAAAACTATCCACTATACACCACCTCAAGACTCTCTAGACAGCTGCGCCAACCTAGAACCCTGCTCATCGACCTAGCCATGCAACTGACTCACCGAGAGTCGATTACCCATAGCACACTCCCGCAACTTTTCGAAATGAAAAATCACCCCTCAACCAATAATAACTAATACACTTTCTTAGACCGCACCAGAACACTTGCAATACACATCTACAACCTATAGACTACATTCGTGACTCAAACAACTCCTGTCACACCTACCGCGATCGGTTTGAAAAGAACCTCCACACCAAATCGTGACCTAAGTCGCAAACGCTGACTTCCTGAGGTTATACCGAAACCCTCACCCGCACACTTGACCTCCACGGTCACCAGAACCCATCCACTGATGCACGAAACTCACACACAACAAGGACACCATGCCATGAAATATGAACCCATTCTATAGTCGTGCTTTAAGCATCGCACAAAACATAACAAAAAAATCAGGATGACTACACACTGAATAGCTCAATCTACGAGCTAGAAGTCCATGCCATTCGTTCGATAAAAACCGACACACCAAACAACCCTGGAGCAACTAAACTCCTCGCTTACTCAGGTTAAAACCCACACAACCATCCATGCTCAACCGCATACTCCTATACATGTATACATATATATATAATAACCGTATCCCATACCATGATACAATTATGTCCCATCATTTAAATTTATTTATTTTTTAAACACCCCGTCTTTCATTTTAAAAAATAAATACTTGCATACCGATGCCTAATAACCATCACAACACCAAACAAGACATGCTTGCGCCTACCGTGCTCACTACTTGCCACATTATTATTTAAAACAAAACTGCCGTGCCTACCACTTGCCGTTACCACCTAAATCACACTTGTCATCATATCATAATTAATATATTTTCAATTATTTATACATTTCATCATCATGACCATATAACACTCATTTTAGCAATTAAGCATGTGAACACTTAGCAAATAAGCATGCCTTTTTAAAACCGTAAAAACATAAGCAATTAAGCAAGTAAACATGCCTTTCAGGCAACAAACACTTTAACACATAAGCACATAAACAATGCAATCCACCTTCCACACAACCCTAGGTAGGCCTTTACTCGTCGTCCTACTTCCGATACCAAATTTGTAACGACTCGAACCCGAGGGTCCGAATCATTAACCAGGTCCTTGTCCGAACCCAAGGTCAACTAAGGACACTATCGTCTTTTTCTACGTCAATACATAATATACGTGTCATCCCAGGGTTTAAAAACAAATGGTAATAGTAATAATAATAAAATAAGATTATAGCTACAAAATATGTCAAAACAGTCTACTAACCCATCGAACCCCTGTGGAAAAGCGTCGTCCGCCACTTCCCTTCCGTATCATGAAAAATGTTAATAATAAGGGGGTGAGCATAAACTCAGTAGGAAGTGTCTAAGACACACTTCTTATATCCCCGTGAATCCATACAATGAATAGATAAAAAGTGAATGGGATCAGCTATAAGGAAACGCACATTCTCAACCACAACAAGAAGTATGTAACAAATATTAACCAATCACAAGTTTACCACAATGTCATGAAGTGCAATATTATGCAAATGTCACTCCCCATTTTCCGAAACATTTCCATTTCAACTTTCAAACCGTTAGTGTAATCCGACTCAAGGCACTTCCAAGACATCACGAATGGAGGGTTGACTAACTATCCATGACCACAAGGCACCTCTAAGGCGTCGCATCCGACCTAATTAGCTCAACCATACTCCCTTCTAGACTACACTAACAACACGGACCGTTCGCAAACTCCTCTCTTGATTCTCCAATTTAAAATTAAATAAGATCACTAAAAATCATAAAATAAATTAAATTAAAAAAAAAAAAAATCAGGTTATCACAGGGCACCTGGTCGCACAGGGTTAGACAGGAACCCACGAGGACAATGTCATCAATCCAATTGCTAAAACAGTAAAATTACCGGTCTACCTTTATTCTGGTGGCTTTAGATTTTAAATTGCTTTTGAAAGGTACTTCATGAAAGGTAGACACTTAAAACCCCAAAATGCTATTAAGATGAATGCTTGCTAGTTGTGATTACTTAACCTACAAGATGGCTCTATGAATTCATGATATCTGCCTTGTGATTAACTGATTGGACAAAAGCTGAACAAGAAAACAAAAGGAGAAAATGACATAAAGTTATTCATCCGATATCTTAAATCCCAAAAATGCTTTTGAAAGGTAGACACTTAAAACCCCAAAATGCTATTAAGATGAATGCTTGCTGGTTGTGATTACTTAACCTACAAGATGGCTCTATGAATTCATGATATATGCCTTTTGATTAACTGATTGAACAAAAGCTGAACAAGAAGTTATTCATCCGATATCATCCTATTGTCAGCTAAATGAGAAATAATGGAAACACAAACAATGATTATATGAATACATGAGGGTCTATAATTGCCAAGAAACCAAAAATATTACCTTTTACTCTGGCATCACAACATTGAATATCTCTCATTGATCTGGTGGAGTCGTCTCACCAAACCATCTTGGAGGATCAAATCCAGACCCACCTGAAAAATGCAAAGCACTTCATAATTATAGGTGTATATGATGTGTGGGATAAAAAATGTGTTACTTTCTTCCAAAAACATCTCAAAACCAGCCCAAAGGGTATTCAACATAATTAGAGAAGAAAAAACAAAAGAAATGTGTGTTTTTCCTTTTAAACAGAGATTTTCTAGTGGAAGTGCCCAATTAAATTACAAGGCTGTGTAAGAAATTAAAACAACTATGGCTTAACAATTCCCAAAAAAAATGAGAATAAAAAGAGCAAAAAGGTCTGAAAAACAAGGTAGCAGTATTACCAAGGGGATTGCAGCGACAGATACGCCAAGCAGTCAAGATGGTCCCCTTGGCAAATCCATATTTCTTGTAAGCAATCATGGAATACTCACTACATGTTGGAACATAACGACAACTATTTTGCAACACTGGCGAGATTTCCCCTGCTCAAAACCCAAATTTGTAGCCCTAGAATCAGTATTGCAAATCAATTTCCCAAAAAGATTCTAATTTTAACCCTAAAGAAAAAAAAAAAAGTAATTAAAGAGTATATGAAGTAAACAAATTCTTGTTTCATTGGAAAATTGAAGGTGAAAAGAACTCACTCTTGTAGAATCTTAGCATAGACAATGCCGCTTTAACCCCTAAATTATCCGCTTCGTCCTCTGATTGCAGATACAACATACTGTGAATTTTCATATCAAGCAAGTTCGATTACACTTAGTGTGTGCGCGTGTATATATATAGAGAGAGTTACCTTGAAGGGCTTTCTGTTCCGATTCTTCATCCAATCCATTAACGATCGGGTATAATCGTCGTCGACGATTGTGAAATTGCTATACACACATAAATACATAAAAAATTAGAAGAAAATTAAAGTAGTGGGGTTTGTGAAAGAGGAAGTACCGTATTAATTGAAGGGAAAAAGATTGAGCGCTGGTTGAGATTGGTTCGGAAACTGAGGGAATTAGGGTTTGTGAATTGAGTCACAATAGATAAGGATGTATGACTTTGATGGAAGAAGGTGGGAGTATTACTCGAGGACAGAGCAAGCGCCATTCTGTTCCAAATATTCCGTTACCAAAGAGATGAACGAAAGATAGCCGTTGCTGATTAGCTACGTGGCGGCAAAGGTATGGTTTGGTATACGTCATCTTACGTCAATCGGCTTAACTTTGGTCTAATAAGTCGTCGGTAGTCTACCCAAATCCAACTCGATGCTACCTTGATCTTTTTAACAGCCTCTTTTATTTCTAGGTTCATGGTCATCTTGGTCATAATCATTAATTTTGTTGTTATAACTTGAGCTTAATATAACCCTAAATGAAACAATCTACCATTCCAAACCTTACCAATCTATCAATTGAAGTCCAACTCAAGTTTAGCCTGGGCTCAAAATAAATAAATAAAAATGTAAATCCAACTTATAATTAATTATGTTTGAATTGAGAGTTTTGAGTTATTTGGATCACTAGACCTAATTATCCCAACTGAGTTGCATCCATTCTATGATTGGCAGTTGGAAAAAAAATGATCTGTTGAGTTAAATTCACGGGCGATTTTCAATCTGTTATCAAATTTACTTACAACTCTACTTATCCAAAAAAAAAAATTTACTTACAACTCTAAAATAATTATTTAGTCAAAAACAACACTTTAAAATTAAGCTTATTTGAGAAAATAATAAATTGTTATTAATACCTCTATATCCTTTTAAGACCTCCCCAAAAACTTAACTTATAGTATTTGGTGTGATACCGAATTAAGGTCTAAGTTGATACTAATATTAATTTTACTGGTCAAAAACAAGGCATTGCCTATTAACCCAGAGAAAGAAACCTATGCTGCTATGCATAACCAACAACCCATATATTAAGTGTTTTCCCATATGAATCCAACGTGGGTCTTTAAAAAAAAATTCCTCTAACACTAGTCTATTTTCGTTAGCCTCTAATGGCAGTTACACTTTCTTCTAAGTACAGTTCTCTCGACTCTACACTAAAGAAAATGCAGTTTAACAAAAAGACTGCCTTACTTTAGATATGCTTCTTTCAACCCAAGAGCTCAATTAAAGAAGACTAATAATACCAAGTAAGCACAACTTTTTAGCTCTAAGTGCTTTGGCAAGACATCACATTTATTGCTGCAATTCTTCTGCATAACAATTTGGAAAACCACTGATCCGACCACTATAGGTGATATCTTAATCTGAAGCATTGGCAGGAGGCATAATCAATTACATGTTCAGAACATAATGAAAAACAGGCTCTCAGAGTGTCGGGACATCGATGGTCAAACTTCTAACCTCCTTGTTCTGCTCTGTGTTCTTTCATAATTAAAATAAAATTTGATGTCACAATCCCAGAGGTAGAAAACAATTATTCTAAATATTTAAAGGTGGATAACATGAAAAAATTACATAACCATTGCTATCGAACATCAAAAACGACTAGTGACTTGGGAAAAGAGGGCCTTGAAATCCTTTGTCGGCGTACCAGTTCCCTCGGGCTTTGAGGACAGATCAAGTGCCTTAAATTTGGCCTCCTCAAACTGCAGTGCCTGTACATAAGGTATCATATAATATGCTACTCAGTTCGGAGAAGAATTGAATAGTAAATAAGTGTTAACAAAAGCACCACATCTTGTGAATAAAATACCTGAATGCAGACTTCTGCAACATCAGCCCTGGCAATAGTTCTCATTTCCGTCTTAAGAAGCTCATCATCCTTTCCGACAAGTAATTCTCGGATACCGCCTTCTTTGTCTTGCAAGCCTCCAGCTCTATATCAGCCACAAAAGTGCAAGAAAAAAATCTAGCTAAAAAAGTATATAGCAGAACAACAAACACATTATCGAAGTAATTGAATATCAATATATATTACATGATTTCATTGATCAATGACTTTATCATGTGCCACCATGTATAGGAAATTATTTTGCAAATTATCATTGCCTTGGATTGAAGCATGTCATATTTCCTCACCTATCACTCATAAGGATCAAAAAGGTGATATGAATCAGTATGCACCTTAATAAGTTACGTATGGAGATCGGAGACGTTATGCCACATAGCATGACTTATACTCCCATTTTCTGTTTAATGTATTAACTACATTTTAAGATGGTATCCAAAACACCATCAAATACATGATGTCTACCATTTTCTATCGAGTTTATTTTATCCAAAAGCATAAGAAACAATAATGAGTAATCGTGAAAACAAAAGCAAAGGGAGACAGGAATACCTTATAATTGTGTATGGGATTCCAGAGTCAGCCAGATACTGTTCAGCCTTTCGCTTCCAAACCTGTAATAGGGAAAACATAATAGAATAAAATTCATTTCAATTAATTTTCTTGATGAATAATGATTATATGGAGGAAAAAAAAGGGGGGTTTTTATTGATGGAAGCAGTTCCAAGGAAAAGAAAGAAAGCACCAATTCCATAAAATAGGAAGCATCTGATTCAAATGAGGCATCCAAATTCTCTACAAGTGATATTTCATATTCAAGCACAGTTTCAATGAACTCTTCTGCTTGCATCAAAGGTGTGGAATTTATACTAGCTTGTCAAGTTGGAACATTTAAACTCTTGGTGCCTATATGCAAAAAAATTATCATGTTTTAACAAGACACAACATCAACAATTTTGGAAAGAGTTTCTTGTAAAAAATGACATGCAAAGAATTAGAAGTTAAGAGGTAGAGTGCATGAAGGTAAAATTTATGAAATCCTTCCTCATCATCATAAACACAAAGCCAAAGGGAACAAGAGGAAAAATGAAATAATTTTCCAGGAGCAAAACAGTACATACCAATATCTTCCCATTTCCTATGTTGTTCAAAGGGTTGTTCAGGTCTGTTCCTCCCATTGACCCGACCAACACAATTTGCTTCACTCCTGCAGCTTTAGCTATACAGTATACACACAGATTGTATAATTCAGCAAAACACATACAAAGTAAACAATATTTGATAAAAAGAAAAAAAGATTAGAATGGCACCAGCATCTATTTGATTCTTCTGTCCAATCCAGTCAACCTAACACAATACAATTCAATCAGGAAGAAAGCAAAAGATTATAAAAAGTTCCAAGGTGGTCAAGTTAAACAATTACCTGCTCAGGATAAGCTCCTTCTTCAAAGTAAAACTCCGGTCTTCCACCTTTACTTGGATCAAACCCAGGTTTCATCTTTGGCACAGCACTTGTAAGAATTATGAGAGCATCAATCCCTTGGATTGCAGGAAGAATGCTGTCAGCATCTCTTATATCCCCAACAAAAACATCATCCGATCCACCAATTTTCTCCTTGCTCTCTTCTGTTCTTGCCAACCCTCTACCAACATACTGATCTGATCTCTCCTTCAATTTCTTGTAAACAATTTGACCTGAAAAAAATCAAGCAACACAATAACATCTGGAAAAAAAAAAAAAACCCTTCACTATCACAAAGAGGTTTAGGTTTATACAATTATGATCAAAACATTATAACCCCCTTTTAAGCAAATTGATTATAAAGAAGGCATAAGCAGGGATGGAGCTATTTGGGGCTCAGTGAGGGCAGTGGCCCCATCACAAAGTAAAAGACATTTTAATTTTTTAGCATTTCGCAGTCAGATAAGTAGATAGAACACAATGAGTCAAGCCCTAAAAGTTCCAATGCAGTGATTCTTTCATGAGATCAAAACCATTCATAAAATTAACTACAACCCACATCTTCAATTCAATATGCTATTGATCTGCATAGTTGCCAGAACAATCTTTGTTGCTTCCATTATTTCCCAACATGTTGATCTCCAATGAGTAGCTTAAATTTGCTACTAAATTTATCAACAGCTCTAGCAATTAAGTTAACACTAAGTAGGAATTGACAAAATTTGAAATTAATGTTTGGATAAAGCCCTTCAATTAATGTTTGGACCCTCCAATCAGGTTTATGAATTTCCCTCTTTCCCCAATTCGAGTTATAAACCTATTTCATTCACATTTTATTTTAACAGAAACCCAATATTCTCTCACACCCCCTAAAAACACATCCATAAATTAACCCTAAAACCCCAGTTAAAATAACACATCTTTGTATAAGCATTGCGTAGTATTCAATAAAAGATAGGGTGGAGGTGGTACGTACCAGTTCTACCGCCAGCTCCGGTGACGAGAACAGTGCTTCGGTTGAGATTCGCCGTTGCTGACGAGAGAGAAACCACCGCAAGTCTTCTGAGTCGACCATTCTTTAAATTCGTTCTTTGTTGTTGAATCAATGGTGGCAAAGAGGTCAAAGTTTGCGGAAGCGAAATGAGGGACTTGGCTACACAGTATTTGTGATTACCACGGTGGATAGAACAGGAGGTGAGTGGTACGAATGGGACACGTGTTGCAGTAGCCATTGGACGGAGACTAGTAGGACGGAATAGTGTCCATCCGATGGTGGAAGGTGAGCGGAATTGGGGCGAACCAGAGGTAGCTCAGACGTGTGTTTCTCTATAGCCTAGCCGTTGTAGACGAGTTTTACTTTTAACGTTTGATTTTCCTTATCTATTTGTCTGTTCACCTTATCTTTGCTTCGGTTTGTTAATCCCACGCTCATCATCCCGCGCGTTTCTCCAAAACACCAATATTTGTGCCATTGGTCTGCTAGTACTGTGTAGTATAGAGTCCGGATCCAGTGCAGTAGAGCATGGGTATTCTACTTACATCAGACAGCTGATGCACATGTGTAATGTTGTGAGCCGTTTGATGCAGCACAACATCAGTGCAACAATGCTCTACTCTGGAATAGATGTGTTGATATATTGAAGAAAGAAAAAAACAATGCTGAAAAAATTTGAGCCCTAACATCTTCATTCCCTCCATTCATTTATGTATATTTTTTGAAACTGGGGTTTGTTCAAAAGCCTATCCCATTTTTACTTTTTAGATAATTAAGTATAAGAATTAAATTCTTAATCTTGTCTAGCACTATGTTGTTTCATTTTCACTATGATGCAAGGATTATGATGCCTAACCAAGCTTGTTAGAAACTTGTTTAGATTTAAGGCTACAAATGAAACGAGCTGAGTTTCAGATTGTTCGTGTTGAATTTCATTCATTTATATACGGGCAAACGAAAGAGATTTTGCCGTGCCATTTGTCTTTCTGCTTCTACTTTCCCTGTTTGTTCTGGATTGGCATATTTAAATAACTGCTTACACATGCTTCATAATACATCAATTATGTTTCTATTCACGAATAACTTCATCATCAAACCAAGAAGAGGTCATCTCCATAACTCTTCTATCTTTGGCATAGCATGTCCAGCCCTAAACAGCAGATGATTTGCATACGTACCTGTTTTGCAGCACTTTTGCCTAACATACAAATTCTATACGGTGACCACGCCTCGTATACAATATCAAGCCACTTCACCCTAATTCTTTACCAAATCTGACAAATTGTTAATGTAGTTACGAAACCAACAGCCTTGATAGTTGCCAACTTCACAAATTTATGGCCCAATGTACAGCCACCTTGGCAAGTATATAAATATGTCGCGTGATTAGTGCAGTTTTTTTATCTTGTGTATGACCAAACTGATTATGACTGCTACAGAAAACTAGCCACACTGATTGTTGCCAGATAAATTATAATTTATTGATTCACAGCGAAACATCTACATCATTTAATAAGACATGAAATTGGGATGATTAGATACCATAAACATGGTTTCTTTCATCATAACAATGAGTATGACATGAATCTAAGCTGTTACAGATGTCTCCACAACAACCTTGCCTGTGTAGCCAACTTCAGACATCTTGTCAGCCTCCCAAAGCTCTGGTAACGCTTCCCGGAAATTGTGGATGCTTTCTAATGCGTAGTCTGCGCCTTTAGTTCTTTGAGAAGTCCCAACCTGCATATATTAATTGGTCGGAATAGCATATTATTGATCTAGTTAGGTAAAAAGAGAAAAAAAATGTTGGTAATTTTAAGGAAGTAAAGAAATCACTTTAATGGTACAAAAATTTCAATTTACCAGCACTGTGTGGAGACCAACACGCTTTCCAGCTTGTATGTTGCGGACACTGTCATCAAAAAATAGCTAAAGAGCAACAAAATTCAACAATGGGGAAGCATTAGTGTATTGTCACTAAAATAGGAATAAATTTGAAATAATCAATGCACTAGTCCAAAAGCTAATCATCTTACTGCTTTGTGAGGGTTGATGTTGGCCATTTTGAGAGCCTGTTCAATGGCATCTTCTGATGGTTTGCACACAATTGGTGTCTTTGGTAAAACCGACCCTGGATTAGGTTGAGAAAAATGTCCAATAATGTCAAATATTTCAGTGCTATTTGTAGCAGTAGATGGTGGAGAGCCCATGAACTCAACATCATCCTCATCATCCGATATGGTGCTCTTATGAATGGGATTCAGTGTCTCAAAGCAGATAATCCCTTCAAAACAGTCTCCCAACCCTAGTCTACTAAGAGCTTTAATGGCATGAATCTTGTCTGCATTTGTGAAGATCTAAAATACGGGGAAAAAAAGGAAATTAATATAAAAACTCAACACTAATACTCTTCAGAATGTTACCCATTTGAAGCAAGGGACTTACAACTTTCCGAATAGGCAAGCTTAGCAACAGGCTTCTTAAAACAGGGTCCGGTTTTAGATTCTGATAAGGCAATCTCCCATGAACAAAACTGCAAACAGGGAAGTGAACACCTTTGTCAGATACCAAACAAACAAGGGAAAAAAATGAGAGAGAGAACTATGAAAATACAAGGAGAGTTCCCAACCTGTGATATTCATCATAGTCGAAGTCATAGCCAATTGCCTGCAAAAGAGATATCCCACGAATAAGAGCCAATTAAAAAAATGGTCTTGGCTTAACATTTACAGAATGACAAAGGTAAGAAATTCAAGCCATACCCTAAGACCTGCCATTGTTGTACCATAATTTTTGTACAGTAGGTTACCCAATTCGGTGATTTTGCTCTCGTCTATGCCAAGCTTTTCAACCATATAATCTACAAAGGGTCATCCGAGTAACATTAGGAAGAAGAGAAACAATATAATAACAATATAGGAGAGGATTAGGGGAGAAACAATGACACAGAAGTCAGAACTACCTTTAATATTCTTGCTGCATACAGTTGCCAGACCAGAACTAAGGGGATAAAGAGTATCGTCTAAATCTGCAAGTCCAAACACAGTATAATTAATCCTTGCCACAGGTTATTGCAGTTTGGTAACCAGGTTTCTGAAGAAAAAAAGCTTACCAAACAGAAGACAATCATACTTTGGGCTCTGAGCTTGTTTGAAGCGGTTCTCGTAATCCATTTTGATCTAGAAAAACTGGAGTAGAGAATGAAAAGAAGTGAGCATTACCCACCAAGTTAATCTAAATCCACCCAATGTAATATTAACATTCAATCTAATTCTCAGTCTGCAAACTTTCATGATCTAATAAAAAATTGGATCTGTTACAAATGGAAGATATATTGCCAACCAAATTACACGGGACAAGTCTTGTAAAGTTTGTAAATGGACAATTTGTAACCACTACCTCATATTCAACCAAAAAAGGTGGACCAGAAACTTTATGGGTTTACAGTTTTCAAACAAAATTCTAGAACTCAAAACTCTTAAATAATTTAAACAAATAGTTGTCCATAAATAAAAAAAAATAAAAAATAATAAAAACTTTAGCATCTTTACAAGTATAACAATAAGACAGTTGTTTAATCAAACTTTCATAAACAGAATTCAATTTTCACTGCGCATCTTAGCAAGGAACCAAGTACAATTCAACTTAAAAAAAAAATAAATGACCACACTTTAACAGGAAGAAGAAAAAAAAATGTTAGAATTTTGGGAGAATTGAGTCCCAAAATCCATCAGCATGAAATCAATATAGATTAAAGAGAAAGAAAAAGGCTTCAACAAATGTGAGGCCACACATGAACAACAATCATATTTGGGCATAAAATAAAGTAAAAAGTAACAAGATTTTGGAATCACAAACTTCATTGAAATGAAATGTGAGAAATCCAAATTAATAAGTAAACTCAATTTTGAAACCATAAATCACGTATTAAACCCTAAAGCTCTAGTCTCTGCTAACTTTCAGACCGTTGATATTATGATTTAAGACTCCATTAATCAAGAAAACACAAATTCCCTGAACTCTGAGATTAAATAACGATAAAATTGAAAATGTAATTATTTCCACTTGCAAAAACTGTATTTATCAGGCATAGAACATAATTTCAATACGAAATGAAAGAGAATCAAACACGAAAAAATGGGAAAACCTCAAGAACAGAAACGTACCAAGTTCAACAGAGGAATGTTAGAGAGAGAAAGTAATGGGACGAAGAGGAAGGGCAATGGTAGAGGAGTGAGAGCTGCAGAGAGAGAAAGTGATACAACAAGATTGAAGGATGCAGGGGAGAAGGGAGGAAGAAGTGGAGGCAGAGGTCGGGTTTAAATAGGCAAACCGTTAGAGTATTTTGATTTAATAATAAAAATATATAAATATTAATTGAATCACGACTAAAATGTGTTTGTTATACTTTATACAATTACCGCGTAAAGTCGTACTAAAATTTGTTTTATACTTTATACAATTACAACGACTGGAAGTCATGGTTTTATTATACTTTAATATTACTTTGGTTCGGTGATATTACATAAATATCCCGAGAGACTACAAAGTGGTTGCCAGACGTATTGGACTTGAATTATTTGAGCACGTGGCAACTTCAAAGGTGGGCTCTGTTAGTATCTTCTTCAAATTACTAAAATAACCTATTATTTATTTTTATTTTTTAAATATTATATATATACCTATTTATTTATTTTAAATATGTTTGGACTGAAAATCTCAACCTCTCACGAGAGATCATACTGGAGGCCCAATGGTCCATATATATCCTACCATGCTTGAAATCACTTTTCAAATAGAATAAAAAAGGAAATACTCTTAAATGGGATTAATCAATTCTTTCTGTGCAATAGCGAGTCCTCGTCATTATTTTTGTTTTTAAATGAATAGAGTCAGTCACATATATATATATATATATATATATATATATATATATATTTCTAATTGGTATCCACATACACTGTCTTCAGTGAGGTTCGAACCTCTAATTTCTTTTTGAAAAGTAAGATTTTCATACCGTTAGGCCACAGGCCTGTTGGTAGTCACATAGATATTCTTTCTCCACCCTATCCTATTATACACTATATCCATCATGTTCTACTTATACACTATATCTTCACTAAGATTTAATGTGTTAAAATTATTTTAATTACTTCATTTGATGTTAGTTTCGACAATTCTCATTTTCTTTTTGAATTAAGAGAAATACTTAGAATATAGTTTAGAGCAGGTCCAATGGGGTAGATTCCGGCGATTTTGGGCCAATTTTGAAGACTGGGCTGCTGCAATGGGATAGCCAAAAATTGGGCCCCACTTGTTGGATAGCAGAATGGGTTGCGGAAAACCGCGACCCTGTTGGAGATTCTCAGGCCTGCCATGCGGGACCGCATCTATTTTCTTTTAATTTTTTTTATTCTGGCCCAAATAGTTCTTTTAGCCCAAAACACTGTAGTTAAAGGCATGTTTGCCTGAAAAAAAAGGGGAAAAAATCAGTTTTTTGACTGATTTTGGTCCTTTTTTTTTTTTTTTTTTTTTCCTCAAAATAATTGAACTAAAGAGCCGTTTAAGACATTGTTTGGCTGACACAAATAGTGCCTTAAAGGCTTTTTTGGGCAAAAAAAGTTAAAAAAAATAGATAAAAGTACTTTTTAAAAAAAAATTTGCTTTTTAAAATATTCCTACGGACATATAGCCGTTTTAGGCACTGTTTAGCTAACCTAAACATTGCCTTAGCGGCTATATTGGCACAAAAACCTATTTTTTGAATTTTTTTTTGAAAAAATTCATTATATATATATATATATATTTAAAAAAAACCTTTCATTTTTCCTCTATAAATACATCAACCCCTACTATTATTCACCTCATATCCAGCCCATCTCTCTAGTTTTCAACCTACAACTACAACCACTAAGTCATTTTCTCAATCTTTTAGTTATATTTTTTACTCAAGTTTAATTCCATGGATCATCCACCACCATATTACAACTACAATTCTCAATTCAACCAATCAAATGATAATTTTGATCCCTTCTTATTTGTTGGAGAAGAATTTCAATTTGTTGGAGATGAATCTCAATTTTCGTCTCATCAACCTTCTCAAGTTTACAACATTCCTACTGAAGTGCTACAATCCAGTAACTCCTAACCTCCCAGAAAGCAAAGGGCTATTCGGCCTCCTAATTGGTCCACGGTTGAAGATGAGACTTTATGTTATGCGTGGATGGCCATTAGCATTGATGCGGTCATCGGTTCAGACCAACAAAAGGCAGCGTTATGGATCTGAATTCAAGAAAGTTTTGAGCAACACGTCAGTGGTGTTGGTACACCTAAAAGAAATCACATCGCCTGCTTGAATCGTTGGTCTATCTGCAACAAATGATTACCAAATTTTTTGGATGCATGACCGAATTACCCCAATGGGCAAGACAATGAGTACAAGGTAAATTATTTATTATATTAAATTTAATTGGTAGATATTTTAAAGATTTGTCTTCTAATAATTATTGATTTTTATTTTTTTATATGATACCAGTGAAAGAGTTGTTTACTCGTCAAAATAACACCAAATTTAAGTTTGATAGTTGTTGGAATATTTTAAATGGTAACAATAAGTGGCATTTACATTTTCAAAAAGAATTGACATAAAAAAAAAAAAAAAAAACAGCCGAAGAAGAAGAGTAGAATCCACATTAATGACAGTGAGCCTATTGGTCACTTAAACCCATCTACTCCATCAAATAATGCAGCAACAACACCAAGTTCGGTTGAAGGATTGGCGCATATAGGCGAAAATGATTCGACGGATGTTGAAGAATGTCAGCGACCAGAAGGACGAAAAACAGCGAAGTAGAGGCGAAATAAGGATAAAAGACAATATGAAAGTCAGAATGATTTCATTAGCAAATTCGATCATACAATAGCCCTTTATCAAAGACAATCTGAAAACTCTTGAGGCTGCTCAAATAGCACGAGAGGCACGCAAAGCAAATAAAGAAAAAATCAAACAACTCGAGCTTCAAAGCAAACTAAGAGAGATTGAAAACAAACAAAGAGCTGAAGAGATGTTAATCATGCAAAAAGATCCAGAATCGATTCCAACACAAGTCGGGAAAGCATGGCTAATTGAACGCCAAAATGAAATATTAGCATCTATACGCGCACGTAGCAACTCAAGCTTTCCATAGGATTATCTCAAGCATTCCATATGATTGTTCTGTTTTTTTTAATTGTTTTATGTTTTTAATTCAAGCCGTATTGTATTGTTTTTTATTTTTATTGTATTGTTTAAATTTATGTTGTATCATATTGTTTTTAATAATAAATATTCTATTGTTTAAATTTTTTTTATGATATAGCCGTTTTAAAAATATAGCCGTTAGGAAAAAGTTAAAAAATAAAATTTATTAAAAATTTAAAAAATATTAAAATATTAATATTTTTAGAGAGCGAAAATGCAGCATTAGAGTACATTCGATAGTTAAAATTTGGAGATTCTAAAACGCTGACGTGGCTAAGGAAAATGCTGACGTGGTTATGGAAAATACTGACGTGAAAAATTCGAAGAGTCTGAATTCGGAGAATCCATTGGAGATGCCCTTACACTGAGAGTAGTTTCTTAACTTAGCAGTCTTATTCTTTATTGGGAATGAGAATGCAAGCTGGGGATCACAATGTGTGTGTGTGTATATATATATATATAATTACATTTGATTATTATTATTTTCTAACATTTGATTAATATATAACCAAGTTAAATTATGGGTATTCTGGACATTGAATAAGAGATACTAATCTTTGATTTCCCTAATGAAAATCTGGACACTTTCAAGGCACGTGGTGCATCTAAGTGGTTCTAATCCATCTGGACCATCTTTTGGTATGATTTTCTGCATTAGGACAAATATCAACGTTTGGTATGGAATATGGTGATCCATAGACAGCTTTCTTCGTCTCGTTGTATGTGTGGAATATGGTGATCCATAGACAGCTTTCTTCGTCTCGATGTATGTGTGTGTGATTATATATATATAGATATACACAAAATTGTTCACTTATTTTTTGGTGCATACAAAAATATATACACACTTCAAATTTGCTTCATAGTGTGTAGAAAATGTCTGCACATCTCAACTATTAGCCGTTAAATTCTTTTGGACAATTAAGAAGGTAATTTATTATTTTATATTTAACGATTAAGATTTAATTCTTTCATAAATTTTTGCACACCAGTGAACAGTATATATATATATAGTTATATAGCCATGCTATTTAGTCATTTATTAGATGATGATCAGGTGCATGGTGAAATCCATGTAATTCCATCTTTAACAATATTTACGATATGTTCGGTTGTATTATTTCGATTATTTGAATTTAATGCTTTAAAATTGAAATTGAAAAAAAAAAATTATAATAAATCGGGTTTGATATTAAAATCTGTAAAATGAAGTTATGTTTGATTGAAATTAGGTTTATTTACCATTCAACACTTTCTTCACCTAAATTGCAGAATGCTGACCTTTGATATTTTGGATTAAACCTAAGATATCTCCATTTTAATTCTCTATCCACGATGGAAGTAAAAATCTGAAATCTTCTTTGCCAAAATGACTAGTTTTGTATTTGCTATCGTTATCACTCTTGCCTTATTTCTATATAAGCAAAGTCCGTCACATAAATTCTTCTCCATCCCAATAATATGTAATTTCTGAGTCATATTCATCTTCACATTACCAATAATATATTGGACAAGGGTTTTTTTTTTTCTTTTTTTTCCCTTTGGGCAAGTGTTGGTTTGGCTACCCTATAGTGGTTGGAAGTGGCCTAACATTTAGGAATCTACCTTAATTCCAAAAAATGAACTGGCCATCACAAATTCACAACTTGAGTTCAGAGAGGGGTCTCCAATAATCTAATTGAACTTTTCTAGGCACCCAAGGTCCCAAACTACATTTACTACATAGTACAAAGACACAACTGCCTTCCAGCTAAAAAGATGCACGAAGCTTCCTTCATTACAAAATGAGCATCCACACATTACCCTATTTATAGGAGAGTCCACCAAATTGTCAATAACAACAAATTTTCCTACATCAACTAACCTTCTTACTCTTCAATTTTTTCCATTGCAAATATAAGATTATGACTGTATCCCGCGCTGGAGAGGATCCCTACTCCATTATAGATAGAGATTGAACCAATAAATAGGATTCACTTACAATGATCAACTCTCATTATTACATGATGCAATCTTCACCCTTAATGGTGTACATGATCCTTTCCGGATTCAAGCCCCATATATATATATATAT